CGCTCCTAGACTAGAGAAATATTCACTCTCTTCCTTGCTGTAAAACGTCTACCTTTGCACTTCCAACCCTCATAATCAATCCTGATAACCATTATTCACTACAGTATCACGAGTTACCCATCTGTATTTCATTTCATCAGCTCCACCTAGACAGATTGGATAGTACTCACTGGAGATTCTGCCTTCCTCCATGCCCCGTAGCTCTAGGTTCTCTCTTGAAAGCTTGTAAGCCAGTCACTTCTTGACTTTGTAGTCCCCCCCTCCCCATTTGGGTATCCAATGTCCAAGTTGCCCATCTCTGTCCACTCTGTATGTGGAGGGGGGGTGGGAATGTTTCTTGCTGTAAGGCTGTTTGGTTTTAAGTAGAAACTGTCACTTTAAATTTTGAGGAGATCTGTGCACATGCGTAGTAGAACTCTCTGGGGGTGGGGGTGGGGTATCCACTCACTCAAGCATCCCCTCTAGTCACCAGAATGGAGGTGCACAGACAGCGGGAGACCAATGAATAGATACCAAAAAATAAAGAATGTCCACACCTTTATCTCCGTGGTTCTGACAGGTGTCTGTGGCTGTTCTGATCCTTCCCCCGCTTGGTCTCACCCAAGATAGCGGCTCCGGGAGCAGCTGAACATCTTGAATTAGAAAGCAATGGATTTCTTGCTTTTGCTACAAATTTCCCTAGCTGTAAGCCTTCCAAGCTTCTAAATATTCCTTTATATGTGGTTCAGAGTTCTGGCACTATCCTCTGAGCCTCCTTGATCCGGGATTCTGTGTTGTTGCTGATGGAGCTCCTCACTACACTTCCACCCTCTCCACCATCTTGTTTGTTCTCTTAAATAGCATTTTTATATAGTCAATATCCTGTGCATTCTTTAAGGTTAGTCTTACCCTGGTGTCCTAGTGGAAAATTTTTTCTTTGCTTGAATTTCTGCTTTTGTAGACTTCTTGTGCCCATATTATCTGTAGTCCTTTATGTTGTTAGTACTGTTGAATTGGTTCCAACTCACAGCGTTCCTATGTAGAGTTTCTGCCAAACGGCTGGTGGTTTTGAACTGTTGACCTTATGGTTCCCAGTCCAGGGCTTATCCTACAGCACCACATCAGGAGTCCTCAGTCCTTTATTGCCATGGACAATATGCAGGCATACCTCATTTGCTTGTACCTTGTTTCATTGTGCTTCACAGATAGTTTTTTACAAATTGAAGGTTTATGGGAACCCTTAGTTGAGTGAATCTGTTGGTGCTGATTTTCCAATGGTATGTGCTCACTTGTTTTTGTGTCACATTTTGGTAATTTTTCTAATACTTCAAACTTTTTCATTTAATAAACTACAGAATTAAATAAAATGTTAAACAGTATAGTATAAACATAACTTTTATGTACACTGTTATTAGTATCATTACTAATGCCATCAACTAGGTTCTCATAACGACCCTGTATAGGGTTTTTGAGGTATGGCTGTTGGGTTTGAACCACAGACCTTTCAGTTAGTAGTCCAGAGCTTATCCTATAGCACCAGGACTATATCTAACAATGTTCTACAGCTATTCATAATGTTTTCATTTTCCAGCACTTTTATAAGGATTTCTCTGGCTGAACATTAAGAAAGTAGTCTGCCTCTCCTTCCTCGTCTGTCTTCCTCTGGAAGCTCCACTGAATCCAGTCTACCATAGGTGACCCTGCTGGTGGCTTCCAGCTTTACAGCAACACACAAACTACCATGACAGACTTACAGACATATGGTGGCAGGATGTCTGTATGCTCTAGGAAACTCAAATAATTCATGTGCCTTGCTTTATCACATTATTTGCTTTGTTGTGGTGGTTTAGATCCAGACCCACAGGATCTCCGAGGTATGCCTGCCTGTACATTCTTATTACCAACTCAGCACATTTGAAACAAAAAGACTTGATGTTCCTTATTTGTGGATTTTGTATCTGTGCATTTGCCTACTTAATCAGTTTGTAACCCGAAATCAATACCCCTGACATTTTCAGGGTCATTTGCAGACACGTGCAGAGTGGTGAGAATTGCATCACTTTATGCACACATTCCCAGCTCAGATCGAACCAAGGCAATGTTTTGCTTTTATGCTCTAGTACTTTAAGTGTCCTTTTCATGATTTTCTTAATGTCATGCTTTTCACATCTGCTGGTGATGACTTCACTGTTTAAAGTGTCCCTCAAGCATAGTGCTGAAGTGCTAGCTGGTGGTCTTAAGCACCAGAAGACTATGATATGCCTCATGGAGAAAATACATATGCTAGATAAGCTTCATTCAGGCACAAGTTACAGTCATGCTGTTGGGTAGGGGTGTTAGTAAATCAGCAGTGTGTATTAAGTAAGATGTCTTTAAACTAAAACACATAAAACAAAATCATGTTTTGATCCATTTTGTGACCAGAGCATGTAGAAACCAACCGTTTGTTATTGAGTAATTCATTGTTTGTGGTGGCTTTATTGTTGTTGTTGTGTGCCGTCGAGTCGGTTCCGACCCATAGCGACCCTGTACAGGGTTTCCGAGGGTGTAAATCTTTACGGGAGTAGAAAGCCTCATCTTTCTCCCGCGGAGCGGCTGGTAGTTTCGATCCGCTGACCTTAAGGTTCGCAGCCCGATTCGTAACCACTACGCTACCAGAGCTCCTTTATAGAATGTAATTATTGGAAATAGCAAGAATTAACTGCATGTATTTTTCTGAGTCCCAAAACTAACTGCCTATCTGACCATTTTCTCATTCATTGCTTATACAGGCCTCTAACCACTGGCTGGTTTATCATAAGATAAATCTTTAGTTTGTTCTCAGTTCTTTAAACCTTAATTGTTGTTAGTTGTGTTGCTGTTGAGTCGGTTCCGACTCATAGTGACCCTGTATATGGTTTCCGGGGAGTGGCTGGTGAGTTTGAACTGCCACACCTTGTGGTTCAAAATAACCTTGTAGTCAAGTGCTTATCCTTTGGTGCCATACCAGGACTCCTTCATCCTTAAGAGTTAATTATGTAAACTATCACTTAATTCACAATAAAAACATATTTTTAAAAAGAGAGTTAATTGAAAAATCAATTGATATAGTATTTTGCCCTTACAATAACAGAATTATTTTTCTGGACCCGCTTTAGTTCTCAGTGCCCATTCTAATACATGATGTTAATGTGAATGTGTTCTCCCACATACAAAATAAGTATATGCGTGCTTTCTATGTCATTACCACAAAGTCTTGAGATTCAGCTCAACAGTAGGGTTTTTTTAGTTCAGTATTGTTTGTATATTCATTAAAGTAAGTTATTAAAATTGCATACTTTTTTTAAACTTTTGACGGTGGTTACCTTCTAGAACTCAGAGAACCTGCATTTTCCATATTCTCTCTCCTGTCTCTCTAATCCCAGTAGAAGAGAAGTATACTCTCTGAAAGGCCTGTCCTTAATTTAATCCTAGATGCCAAGAGTTCCATTTTCTGCCAACTTCTAAAAGAATTATCAATACCTTTGCCTTTCAAACATGCGGAGATCTTTTTTCATCTTAAGAAAAAATTTAAACTGCTTTTGATGCCCTTCTAGGCTATTTATTTTCTATTTCCATATGAGTTCAGAGGTTTTTTAAAAGACATGTCTTATTTTTTTAACCCATTTCTTCCCTAATTTCTTATTTGTATTCTACCTGAACTATATGCTGTAACCTCCTTCTTAACCAAGTCCATTGACCCTGGCCCAGCCTTATTTATTCTGATACACATCATATTGGATGATGATCCATCCTCAGGATTCTTCCCTCATTTGACTCTCTTTGATGTTTTACTCTCCTGACCTTCCTAATACTTTGACCAATTCCCTAATTCTCTTTTGTTTCCCTTGATTTTTGCAATAATCAGCCTTTTGCAATGATCAGTCTTTTGTATATGTGTTTTAAATATAGTCTTATAATGTTAAATGACAACTCTATAATCAATATAATGTTTTCTTTAGGGTACGCCCAATTCCACACACACCATCCCACTTTGCAATGTGTCATGCACAGATTCACCCCCACTCTATTGATGGCATCTTGCCTAGAAATTCTCCTTTTTCCTACGCACTGTTAAAACTTAACAAGGAGCCCTGGTGGCATAGTGGGTTTTGCATTGGGCTGCAAATCACAAATTCAATAGTTCGAGTCCACCAGTTGCTACCTGGAAGAAAGAAGAAACTTTCTGCTCCTGTGAAGAGTTATAGCCTCAGAAACCCTACATAGGGCTGCTATGAGTTGGAATCTAAAGGATGATAGGGGGTATGGTTCCTTTTATTAAAAATTAGGGTCTCCCACTGACGGTACCATGGAATAAACAGGCCTGCCCTGTAAAATTTATAGCCAAGAAAGCCCTATAACCCATGGGGTCAAATAAAAGATCAAATTTTTAAAAATTATGCTTTCTTTAAGGTCTGATTCATGTGCTAATTGTATTCCAGTTAAGTTTCTACTAACTGCAACCCCTAATGATTTCCCTGAATTCTTTCTGGTTTTTAGTACTTTAATAATAATGCTTTGCCTTTTTTTATGAATGCTTAACATATTTTCCCAAATAAATTACACACCCTTAATCAGTATTTGGAGCCCTGGTGTGGTGCTGTGGGTTAATGCGCCAGACTGCAAAGCTGTTTGAACTGCAGGGTCAGTGGTTCAAGCTCACCAGCTGCTCCTCGGAAACCCTGTACAGGGTTGCTATGGGTTGGAATCGACTCGACGGCACTTAACAACAACAACAACAACAAAAAAGCGGTATTTGGAGTCCTGATGTAGTGCTGTAGGATAAGCACTGGACTGCTAACCACAAAGGTGGATGGCTCAAACCCTTTGGTTGCTCTACGGAAATCCTATACAGGGTCAGTGTAAGTCGGAAGCAACTCAACAATACTTCACAACTACAATCATTATTTATACCGTGTGATAAATTCTTTAATACCTGGTTAATGTGTTTAGTAGGAACTTCACCTGTTCTCGTTGGAAGTAATAAATTACTTTCCTTGTAGATTCTTCATTAGAACTCTTCCTACTCATTCACAATTTGGATAGCCAAATGTTGAGAGGAGACAAGAGTCAGCAAATTATTGGGCAGTTGTCATCTTTGCATAACATATACCTTATAGCATCTATTGATCATCTCAATGCGCCCCTCAGTAAGTGAAATGTTACGGTTTTTCTTTCTTAATGTCTAAAGTCATAAAATGTGTACTGTTTTGCTGTACATGTTTTCTTTGCTACACTTTTAAAGACAAACCTTGCTCAAAAGATAAGATGTCTTCAGTATAATTTAGAATGCAATTCTTAGAAATAAAATGTCAGATGCTAAAAGTGGTACTTTATATCTAAAATTACATGATTGGGGGAGAAAAACAAACTGCTGTTTGGTCTCTTTCTACTCTTTGTAGTAACGCAGTATTTATTTTATGAATTTCCATTGAGCATACAAATATTCAAATGTTGATGGACAGTGAAATTAGATTGTGTAATATTGATTTGAATAGAGAAGTAGCAAAAAAATTTCATTTCCGGATTCATTTTTTAATTATTTAATGCTTTGTCATTCTTCTTAGTAACGTGATTTTTGAAAATAATTTGTGTTTTCCTTATTTTTTTGGTTACGTGCTCTAGTGTGGGATCATGCAAAGCAGAGTCTTTATAACTGGCTCTGGTATGAAACTACTACATATAGTCCGTATACTGAAGAAACTTCCTATGAGAATTCTCTTTTAGTTAAACAGTCTGGATCACTGCCACTTAGTTCCCTAGTTCATGTCTTACGAAGCCTTACTCCTAATGCAAGGTAAGAATGAAAACCATATTTTCTTTTTTGTGCATTTCTTGGTTTTGATGGAAGTACTAAGGTCTCAACTTAGATTGAAGGTGTAAGAGAAACTGAAGCAGTAAGAGTTACCAATACTTTACTATGCAGTAAGCCCAGTAGTACCAGCATTTTTCTTTCTTAATAGAGTTTGATTAATTCTATTTTAAGTTCATCAGTTTGTTGTTGTCAGTTCTTTTTGTTAAATGCTTCAGTTTTCACTCAATAGAGACTCTGTATAGAGTTTCCAACCTCAGGGTCAGCAGTTCGAAACTACCAGCTGTTCCGCGGGAGAAGGGTGAGGCTTTCTGCTCCTGTAAAGATTTACAGCCCCGGAAACCCTGTACAGGGTTGCTATGAGTTGGAACCCACTCCATGGCACATAACAACATAGAGTTTGCAAGACTATAAATCCTTATGGGAGTAGAAAGCCTAATCTTTTTCCCAGGCTGGTGGGCTCAAACTGCTAACCTAGAGGTTAGTAGTCCAGTGCTTATCGTACAGAGTCACAACATGCACCCTATTTATAATAACAAATATATTACATTATGAATCAGATGAAGATGTGAAGATTTGTTCTATTTTGTTGAGAAATACATGCACCAACGCAACAATTTCTACATGTACAATTCAGTGACATTATCTTCAGTCTTCAAATTACACACCATTCTTACCTTCCTTTATGAGTTGCTCTTCCCCCACTAATATAAACCCATTGCTTGCTGTCTAATCTTTCAAGTTGTCATTTCCATTTTGATCTCATATAGATGGATATTAAAAGAGCACAGTGCTCCAAACAGACATTCGTTACTAGTTAAATTAAACTATGGTTTGGTTTTAAGGAGATTTCAGGGCATATTTTTAGTTACAAGGTTTAAAGATGATCTCAGGGCAATAGTTTGAAGGATTTATCCAGGTTACAGTCTCCAGAATGTTTGGATTCCCAGAGAATTTTAGATTCTGCTCTGCCTTTTCTCCCTTTTGATCAGGGTTCTCTTACAGTATCTCTGATCAAATGTTCAGTAATGGTAACCAGGCACCATCCAGTTCTTCTGGTCTCCTGCTAAGGGAGGCACTTGTTGATGGAAGCTATTAGTCACACTTTCCATTTCCTCCTCTTGTACCTGACTCTCCTTCTTCCTCTGTTGCTTCAAGGGAATAGAGACCCATTTTGATCAAATTGTACCTTTGATTTGCTCTTCATAACCACTCTAAATGGTCAATGGCACAGATATTTTGAACCAAATCTAAAATTCATTCCTTTTTTATTTCTGAATAGTGTGTCTGTTCTATTTTTGGTGGACATTTGGAACGTTTCTTGTTTAGGATTATTGTAAGGAAAAGAAAGAAAGAGACGGAGAAATGAAGGAGAGACTCTTGGCTTCAACAGCAGGCAGGTTTATTGAGAGTAAACCTGGGAGGGGATACTCTTATGTCATCAACGGAGACCAAGAGCCCATCTGTTCTTTTACAGACTCGGGTATTTAAAGGCAGTGTGATCTGGGTATAGTTCTGGTGAACTTACAATGGGCGGGGTATGGAGATTTTGGGTGGGGGTAGTTGCAATGCCATTCCATTGATCAGGTGCAAGGTCCTTCAATTATAATGAACAGAATTGTTATGAACAGTATTGTAAACTTGTGGTGACCATGTGCCAAGGACAAGAACATTCCTGTTGTGCTTCCATACTTGATATTGTCAGCTGTTTTTAACTTGTCAATCTGGTGGGTATAAGAGCATTTCATTATGGCTTTAATTTGTTCTTCATTGATTTACAAAATAAATTCCTCTGTTTTTTGGCTATGAAGACTTCTGATGAGGTACCTACTTTTATATATGCTTTCTACATGTTTTTCTATTGAATTGCTTCTAAGTCTTAATGGATTTAATGAAGTATTTTACTCAGTGTTGTGTTGGTTTCCTAGGGCTGCTGTAGCAAAATGCCCCAAGTTAATTGGCTTGTAAGGACAGAAATTTATTATCTTACAGTTCTGAAGGCAGAAATTTGGAAATCTGGGTATAGCTCTGTTGATTCCTTCTGAAACTGAGGGAATCTATTCCATACCTCTCTCATAGCTTCAGGTAACCCCAAGGATTCCTTGGTTTGAAGCTTCAGCATCATCTAGCGTCCTTCCTCTGTCTCTTTGTCTCTGTGTTATCATCTCAGCTTTATAAGGACACCTGATCTTATAAAATTGGGAACCACCCTACTCAAGTATGACCTTGTGTTAACCTAACTGATAACTGCTTCAAAGGCCCTATTTCCAAATAAGGTCATGTCCACAAGTACTAAAGGTTAGGATTTCAAACCTTCCTTATTTGGGGGCAAAATTCAATCTTTGCCATTTATCTATTGTCACATAACAAATTGCTCTAAAACTTCATGACTTAAAATAGTATACATTTATTAACTGGTAGGTTCTGTGGGTCTGTGTGCAGCTTAGATGGATCCTCCGGTTCTGGTTCTCATGTAAGTCTGCAGCCATTGTAAGTCCCAACTGTGAAGAATCCTCTTCCTAGTTCACTCATTGGGCTGTTCACAGGATTCCTCTCCTTGCAGGTTGTTAACAAAAGCCATAGTTCCTCATGAAGAGTTGGCGAAGCCTCCCTCAGTTCCTTTCCTCATGGGCCTCTCCATAGGATGTAATGGTAGCTTACTTTATTGAAGGGAAGCAGGCAAGAAAGAGCATGCTTTTGTAATATAATCATGGGAGTGACATTCATATTTTTTCTCATAATCTCATTGCTAGAAGCAAGTTACAAAATCCGCTCAAGGGATAGCTTACACAGGCAGCAGTATTACAGGGAGCGTGTCAGAAACTGCCTACTATAAGTGCTTATATATTTTGGACACTATTCTTTATCAGTAAATGTGTATAACTTTTCTTACCATGTGGCTGTCTTTTTATTTTCTGTCTGGTGCTTTTTAATGAACAAAATTTGAAAATTTTGATGTAGTCCACTTCATCAGTGTTTTCTTTGTTTAGTATTTGTTTTAACAAAACCTTTATGGCTCTAGGTCATAAGGGTATTCTATGTTATCGAAAAATTTCAAATATAAAATATCTTTTACATTTAGGTTTTAATCCATCATTTATTAACAATCCCTTCCCTATCTCACCCCCAGGTGTATTTGGCATACACTCCCAAGTTTCATGAGATGAGCAGATCTGTTGCTAACCTCTCTATTCGATTCCATTGGTTTGACTATACCTACTCACTCTCATTTTCTTCATTATTACAGTTTTATTCTAAGTTTCAGTGTTACATAGAGCAAGTCCTCCCTCCTTAATTTCTTTCAAGAACCTTGGCTAATCTTGGCCCTCAGCATTCCTATAAAAAGAATCCTCTTGTTACGCTCTCCTTAAAAAAACAGAGGATTTTTATGGGGATTAAATCTGAACTTACATGTCAAATTGGAAAGAGTTGATATATTTACAATTTTGAGCTTTCTAATAAATTTATGTATGTTTCATAAAATTTGTTAAAGCTCTTACATAGTGTTTCTCCACATAGAGATCTTACATATAATTTATTAGACATATTCATGGATGTTTTCTATTTTTGATGTTATTTAAATGGCAATTATTTTTCTAACTTTGTCACTGGTTTATTGAAATACAATTAATTTTTATATATAAATTTCAATAAAAAATCTTTATACACTAGTAAAGCTGTGTGGGTATCCAAAGTCCCTGCCCTTTTACTTAGGGTTTTTTCAAAACTAAATAATGTGCGGATTCATCTGAAAGGACTTCCTGCATTGATTCAGCATCATTCAATATGGTACTGTAATATATGTGAACTTTAAAACTGAGTATTTCTCTTTAGGGCTGATTTGTACACTGGATGATCAGATTAACATTTCAGTGATACTAAAATATGTATTATGTAGGTATCTAACCAAAATTTTTGATGGAGTTAGGAACAGAAAAAGTCTTCTATTTTGACCTACTGCTAACAGACAATGGCAAGTTACTGTGCATATAAAGTGGACGTCAGGGCTACTCACATTTATTGGTAGCAATAGCTCTAACGCATTTGTCTTTTGGCTTTCTCTACTTAAATATCTGTGTACTAACCTCAAACATTTGTTTTAAAATTTTAACTACTTTGACGTTTTCTTTCATTCTGCAAATTTCAAGATATGTTACCTTTACTTGGTGCGAATGTGATTAATCAAATATCTTAAATTCAGCTAGTCATGTGATAAAACTTTTAGTTATAATGTGGTCATTCAGATGATCCAAAATAGGCTTCCAGTTGCTTTAAGAAATCAAGTTTTGATTATCATAAAATTGAAAATGCAAAGGTTTAAAATTATTTTGGCAAACCCAAGGATTTCTGTGAATTTCAGTTTTTTTAACACAGCTTCCAACTCCATTATTCTACTTAGGGTATATTCTATTAAAGGACATAACTCAAAACATGAAAAAATATGTACAATTTCATTTAAATTTATATTTTAATAAACTAAAATTGGATATAATAAATCTAAAATCAGTAGGGCAATGTTAAGTTTGTGATATATATGATTGTTGTTTTTGAAGACATGTAAAAACAAGTAAGTAAAAAGGCCATATACAGATTTATTCTATATAAATTATAAGTCTATGTATTTTCACATTGCCTCATTCCATAAAGATTTGCAATAACAGCATAAAAAAACAAATATTATCCTCCCACAGTTGTAAATTGATATATTTCACTTTACTGTGTGTATATATATAGTTGTTGTTGTTAAGTGCCGTTGAGTCGGTTCCCACCCATAGCGACCCTGGTACAGGGTTTCTGAGGTTGTAAATCTTTACGGGAGCAGAAAGCCTCATCTTTCACCCACAGAACAACTGGTAGTTTCGAACTGCTGGTCTTAAGGTCCACAGCCTGATTCGTAACCACCATGCTACCAGAGCTCCAGAGCTCGCTCGCTTGCGCTCTCTCTCTCTCTCTCTCTCTCTCTCTCTCTATCTCTCTCTCTCTCTCTCTCTCTCTATATATATATATATATATAGTTTTTCTCCAAGTTTTCTCAAGGACTAACCTATATATTCAGAAACAAAAAAATTACTCCAAAAGTTTTCTTAGAGGGAAATTTTTTAAAATCTTCTCTTTAAATAGGATATAATGCTCATTGGAGAATGGAACTTAAGGTAATATAGATATTATCTACATATATATTATAACTGTTATCTTTTAATATTTGTGTTCTGGATTTGAATTCCTCTTTGTTTTTGTCTCTTTAGGGGGATTTTCAGGCTACTAATAAAGTATCAGCTGGATAACCAGGATAACCCCTCTTACATTGGTATCCAATATTTATGATATTAAATTGTGTGACTTTTCTTTCACCTTATAAATTCCTTTTCCTGGAAACCACTGTTGTTTTTCATAGCAGTGAATAAGTGGTCTGCAAACTAACCCAGCCTGCTTTTAAGTTTTCATATGCAAATTATGGATGTGTGTCCACTAATTACATATTAGTCATATGCTGGGTATCTTAGGTGATTTTCTACCCCATGGGTAAAAATAATGTTTTAATCTTAATAATTATTTCTCATGATTTACTAATTCTTTAAAATTCAACTTTGTGCTATTTAAACTGCCCACAGGATTAGTTATACTTGGTCATAGTTGACTACTTTCAACCAGTTGGTTCTCTTTAAAAGTGTTCTCTAGTCTAGCTTCTCCTAGAGATACTTACTTTTAAATATGAGCACACTGATTGATTGTTTTGATATACCATACTAATAGCACCTTTTTCTGTGTTCTTAGATAGGGTTATCTGTATATGGTGGTATGTCTTAAAGGCTAACTTCTTATGGTCAAATCTCTTTTTGAATGCTCCAGGACTTTCTTTTCAAGATTTTTATCAGCAGTGCCGGGAGGCTTTCCTTGTCAACAGCGATCTGACACTTCGGGCCCAATTAACTGAATTCAGGGACCACAAGCTTTTAAGAACAAAGAAGGTGAGTCTCTGATGTGTCATTAAGTGCCAGGAATAAGTGTATCTAATCTCTCAGGCAGTGATACAGAGCAGTACTTCACTACAAAGAGGACCAAAAACACCTTATGAGGAGTTCTGTTGTTGTTGTTGTTAAGTGCCTTCGAGTCAGTTCCGATGCACAGCGACCCTGTATAGGGTTTCCAAGGAGTGGCTGGTGAGTTTGAACTGCCAACTTTGCAGTTCAAACTGACCTTGCATAATCCTGCAACGTCACACCAGGACTCCATGAGTTCTTATCAAGAATAATCAACCATTGTAGATACACAGGCATACCTCTTTATTGCACTTCACAAATACTGTGTTTCTGTTTTTACAGCTTGAAGGTCGTTGGCAACCGTGTGTCAAGCAAATCTGTTGGCACCAGTTTTCTAACAAAGTGTCCTCACTTTGTGTCTCTATCACATTTGATAATTCTCACAGTATTTCATATTTTTTCATGCTACTGCACACTTAATGGATTACATTATAGTATAAATATAATTTTTATGTGCATTGGTAAACCAAAAAAAAAAAAATAGTACAAATTGCTTTTTTGTTATTTGCTTTATTGCAGTGGCTTGGAAGCAAACCCTCAGTATCTCTGACGTATGCCTAATCTATGAGTCATTTAATTCTGTTATCTCTTTTCTCTCTTCCATATAGTCCATTCATTAATTTCGTCCCTATTTATTAAGCTAGTACACTCTCAGGTATTAGGGTCCAGTAGTAAGCAGCCTGACTCATTTTCTCATAGCTTATATTCTAGTGGGGAAGAGAGACAGTAGTCAAATAATCACACATATGTAAAATACAATGCATTAAGAGCGTATAATAGGTGGGTTTGACATAATTATGGATATCAAAGAAGACCACTGAGCTGAGATCTAAAAGGAGACTAGGGGGTAACTAGTCAAAGAAGTAAGAAAAGAATATTCCAGGTAGGGAACAGAATGCCAAGGGGCCCTGGGACAGGAAGGAGTATGGTACCTTCAAGAAACAAAAAGACTAGGTAGCACAAGATGTGTGAAAAGACTGTGATTTAAGAGCTAGACCGTTCAAGTCTTTTAGGCTAAGGTAAGGACTGAAATCTATATTCTAAAAGTAAAGGAAAGACACTAAAACATTTCTCTGCTCTGATGTGTAGAGTATGCTGGGGAAGAATGGGATATGGATTATCAAAAGTGGATGCACAGACAACAGCTAGGAAGGTATTAATTGCAGTAGTCTGGGTGAGATGATGGTGCCTTAGAATCGAGTGAAGAGAGAAAAGTGGTTGGATTCTAATTGGTTTAGGTGCTGTCTAGTTGCTTCTGCCTTGGTCCTACACCGTCCTTACCATGTTTGAATCCATTTCACTGTGTCAGTTCATCTCATTGAGGTTCTTCTTTGTCACTGGGCCTCCACTTCACCAAGCATGATGTCTTTTCATCAGGTCCCTCCTGATAATATGAGAAACAAAGTCTTACCGCTCTCATTTCCAAGGAGCAATCCAGCTGTATTTCTTCCAAAACAGATTTGTTTGTTGTTTTGGCATTCCATGGTGTATTCAGTGTTCTTCGTAAATACCATAATTCAAATGCATCAATTTTCCTAATGTTTTCCTTATTTGTTGTCCAGCTTTCACATGTATAGGAAATGATTGAAAATATCATGGCTTGGATAAGGTTGAATGTTAGCCCTCAAAGTGACATCTTTACTCTTAGGTCTTTTGCTGTAGTCCTGAGACCCAATGCAATACACTGTGTGATTTCTTGACTGCACCTTTTAAGAACATTGATTATGGATCCAAGTAAAATGAAATCCTTGACAACTTCAGTTTTTTTGTTTATCATAATGTTGTTTATTGGTTCAGTTGTTAAGGATTTTTGTTTTCTTTACACTGATATGTAATCCATACTGAAGGCTACATGTTGTCTTTGATCTTCATCAAAGTGCTTCAAGTGCTATGCTTCTAGCAAGCAAGATTGTGTCATCTGCATATCTGACAAGATCTGTTGATAGAATTACTATGCATCATTGAAGAATAACCATGAGTCTGCAAAACATGTCATAACATGGAGGAACCTAAAGGACATTATGCTGAGTAAAATTGTTGTTAAAGTGCCGTGGAGTCAGTTCCGACCCATAGTGACCCTGTACAGGGTTTCCGAGGCTGTAAATCTTTACGGGAGCAGAAAGCCTCATTTTTCTCCTGTAGAGCGGCTGGTAGTTTCAAACTGCTGACCTTGCGGTTCACAGCCCCATTCATAACCACTACGCTACCAGAGTAAAATTAGTCAATCACAAAAGGTCAAATATTGTATAAAACCACAATTGTAAAATCTCAAGACAGAGTTTTCATGCTTAAAGAAATATTATTTGATGGTTGCCAGGGGTGGGAGGGAAGGGACAGTAATTCACTGATTAGAGGGTAGACATATATTAACTCAGGTGACAGGGAGGGCAATATACAAGAAGAGAGACTGACAGAAGAATGATGAAGACAGCTAGACACAGGGAGGCATGCAGGGATTAAAGGGGGTACAGATAAATGGTATCATACCCACAACTCTGGAACAATAGTGTTCTGTGAGTAGATACATGGACAGATGCACAGACTGAACGGGTACGGAAGGGAGAGTGGGAGTATACTTACAGATCCATAAGGGTTTAAAAGAAGAGCTCTGGTAGCGTAGTGGTTACAAATCAGGCTGTGAACCTCAAGGTCAGCTGTTCTGCAGGAGAAAGATGAGGCTTTCTTCTTCCATAAAGGTTTACAGCCTCGGAAAATCTGTACAGGGTCGCTATGAGTCGGAACCGACTCCACGGCACACAACAACAACATTTGTACATGGGTATTGATTGACCTTTGCTGCAAGCACACCTATGAATGCAGTGGAACATACAGGAGGCAAAATAATGAAAAATGCTTAGATACTATCAAATATCTTAAGACAATAAGTTGCTGGACCTGGAGGCTCAGGACCATAGCTTCAAGGGACCCCATAGTTAACTGGCATAACGTGGTCCCCAAAGACGAATGTTTTACATTCTACTTTGGTGAATAGCATCTGGGATCTTAAAAGCTCATGAGTGGCCATCTCCAAGCACAGAAGAAAGAAGAGTGATGAAAATTGAAGATGCTTGGAATCAACTAGTCCAGTGAACGAATGGAGTACCTACCCTTCAGGTCTGGAATGGAACTCATCCTGGTAGCCCAATTTTCAGCTAAGCAATAGATAGTTATATAGTGGGGACAACGATACGAGCTCACCATGGAATGATGAATCATTCAAGATCAAAAGGATAACATTTACCTAAGGACAAAGTTGAAAAAGGATGGGAAGTTGAGTGAAATGGAAATAGGAACCATAAGGAGGAAGCTGGATGACTTGTTGCATGGAGGGGATTGCAGTCATTGAGTTAAAACAAAGTGTGTGAGAGAGAAGGAGTTTCAGGTGCTACTGCTGGAGTGTTTGGCATAAATGGGGTCATGTTTCTCCAGTATTATCTTAACTAAGAGGGAGACCGAGTGTATACGCTGAAGCAGCTAGACCCTCTGGGACAACAGACCTGTTCAGCCTATCCTGCTCGGTTCTCCCCAGATGACAAATACTCAGGACACACCAATTCACCATCAAGAAATATTTCAAGGTGCTTATGACCTAACAAACACGTCCTGCCCTCTGAGGATCCCTCATATTTCATGGCTCTTCTGTCGCCTTCTACCCTTCCGAGACTACCCAAACCAAATTATGCGGCATGTGAAGCCCATTTTACCGCCTTGGCTCTTTGGAATTCAGCCTTTGATCATGCTTATGTGAGGGAATCAATCGTGGTATCATCTCCTTTAAAGGGAAAAAGTTTGAAAACTGTATGATTTATTAAATGTAAAACTTATAATCTCTGTAAACCCTCAGTCAAATCACAATAAACATTTTTTGGGGGTTTTTTTGTTTTTGTTTTTGTTTTTTAATTTAAAGGGTAGCTTGATTAGATATAGAAACCAAGAGAAAGCTTGATTAGATATAGAAATCCAGAGTGATTCCTGATTTCTGGGTTGCATAACTAGATGGATGGATGGAAACTTGTAAGAGCAACATTTGAGTGAGGGAGGACAGATCATGGAATTGAGTTTTAGAGTTACTGTGACTGAGATTCCGTTGAGATTTTCAAGTGGCAATGTCAATGTGGCAGTTGGAAACATGGGGTGAGAAAACAGGAAAATTCTGAACTGGAGCTACAAGATCATTATTTGTTTGTGTTTAGGCTGTAACTGAAACCAGCTATAGGTAAGACTACATAGAGAAGACTTAGTGAGATTAGAAGGCCAGAGATTAACATCTGAGTAGAGGATACACCTACAAAAGTGATAGAAACAGCTAGAGACCCAGGATATGATATCACAGAAGCTAAGAGAGAAACGTGTTTTTAAGAGAACAAAATGAGTGGTCAGCCATGTCAGATGTTGCAGAGAAGCCAAAAAGATGCAGGGTGAAAAAACACATTAGATTTAGGCATATGGAATCCTTTAGTGGTCTAAGTAAAAAACTCTTGGTGATTTGATGATTAGGGTAAAGCCAGGTTGGTTGGTGGAGAAGTGATGAAATAGAGACAGTCATTATTGACAATTCTGAGGAAGTGTGGTAGGCAGGGGTGAAGAGTTATTGATGGTGAATGAATGAATCTTGTGAGAGCCATTTAAAATGGGAGAAATTTGAACATATTAAAAGGCAATGGGAAGAAACCAGTTGAAAGGGAGAAATAGCATAAATCAATGTATAAGATTTTAGAACAAGAAGATTAAGAAATAGCTGAAAACACAGTAAACAAAATAAATAACACCCACCTTCTCAGAGTCCTGGTGTGGCTTTGTGGGCTAATGCATAAGACTGCAAAGTCGTTTGAACTGCAAGGTTGGTGGTTCAAGCTCACCAGCTGCTCCTTGGAACCCTACACAGGGTTGCTATGGGTTGGAAGCAACTCCACGGCACTTAACACCAACCCACCCTCTCGGAATCCTGGTGTGGCGCTGTGGGTTAACATGTAGGACCGCAAAGTTGGTTTGAACTGCAACATGTGAGGTTCAAGCTCACTAACTGCTTCCTTGGAAACCCTTTACAGGGTTGCTGTGGGTCAGAACCGACTCAACAGCACTGAACAACAACAACAATCTACCCTTTCAAAGAATTAGCTTTTAAATTATGGTGAAAAATACTATATATATCATGAACTGCCAAAAGAACGAACAGATCAGTCTTAGAAGAAACCGTCAGGATGCTCCATCAAACCAAGGATGGAATGTTATCAGGAGGGCCCGGTATTGGGATAAGACCATCATGCTTTAGTAAAGTAGAAGATCAGTGAAAAGGAGGCAGAACTTCAGTAGCTGCAACAATGGGCTCAGATACAAAGGACTATAGGGAGGGGGCAGGCCCGGACAGTGTTTCCTTCTGTTGGACAGTACTGCCTTAATGGCCCATAACAACAGCACCTACCCACTGTTAGACTAATATTTAAGAATGTTGTTATTGTTTTACTATAAAATGATTCAACATAAAGTCACTGTAGTTAAATAGATAAGTGCCCGCGTGGCCTTTTGCTTAATTTTTATACATCTCTATTATATCAAATACTACATTAAGGAAATCTAATCCATATTTTTGTTTATAGTCTACAGTAGAAATGTTCAAATGTATCTCTTATGCATGACTAACATGTAGAGTTTTCTCATGTCTTTTAGGGAACTGATGGAGTGGAGTATTTAGTAATTCCTGTAGACAGTGGAACATTAACTGATTTCCTGGAAAAGGAAGAAGAGGAGGCTTGAAGGTTATTCATTACTCTTGAACCTTCTGTGGAAGATTTGTTGTACTCCAGCTGCCAACCCCTCTAGTCAAAGATGGTGTGTTTACATCCATTATTTTCTGATATACAGGATTTTTAATTGGGGGCAAGGAAAATTTCGTCAGTTAGACCTTTTGACTAGCCTGTCTGGTGTACCATCTCTAATACTATGCAGTTGTCTTCAGGATGGAGAAAAATGTGCCTTTCATTCATTACCTCTCCGAGACTTCTTGTTGGAATGAACAGTGTGCTCAGGGACTATTTGGAACTGGATGTTTTTGAATTTTTATACTAGAAATGCTGTTATTCCTAAACTTTTGAGGGCCTTTTAACATTTCTGAACTGATTGCAAGCGTGCTTGTTACAGAGTGTGGAATGCTCAAAGACACGGACATCAGCTGTTGTATTTGCTATTCTGTGTGTCTGAACTGATGAGTGCATTGGAGAAGAAGACACATCATCTGTGACTGTGTCTGAAATGGCAAAAGCTGTGGATTATGAGGAAGTCGATGCTCCAGCTTTCTTCTTTTGGATTTAGGCTATATAGTTTGGGGTCGGGGGGTGGGAGCAGAAAGGGAAGCAGTGGCACTACTCCGTTAGGAAGAGGAAAAGCATAAGGAGCTGGTAGGGTGTGTACCCAACCAAGGAAGCACATGCGCAACAGAGAAGAGATTCAGAACATTGGAAGTCTGTGCCGTTGTCATCACCTTCATTCAGACAGCTGAGAGGCCAGGCCAGAAAAATCTAATCCTGAATTACAATTTAGTAATTGTTTTTAAGAAATGCAAACTGAAATGTGTTCTTGTTATATTGACATATTTTTCTTTTCTTGAATAACAGACAGGTGAGTAGCATATTTATGGCTGGCTTCAGAGATATCACTATCAAGTAAATCTAAAGGTATCACTATTAATGGTATTTCCATTTTTTCTTAAAGTGATTATTTTAAGCCTCCTAGAGATTGACATGAACCTATTTTCTTAATAAAGAAAAAAAGGTAATGTTGGCCACTGCTGTCAGCTTTAGAGTCTACCTGTCCCCTGGAATATTTCATACTCGGAAATGAAACTCTGTGTTAACTGTCGCTGTAATAAAATATGTGTACTACACCAGTATTTGTCACTCATTTCTTAACTTGTAAAACTCCTTTCATGAAAATATTTCCCATAATAATTGGATTTTTTTTTAAATCATTACTTTGCTACAAAATCATAAAATTCTTTATTAAACAAAATAGCAAAATGTGAAGCTACTGTTTCTTGACATATTCTCCATCTAGGTGTACACATGGCTGAAGGCGGTGTTTCCATGTCTCCCACCCTACCCCTTCCATTTATACCTTGTGAAATGGCAGTTTGGGCATCCTCCAGGGACTCGTGTTGTAGTCCTATTAAATGTTCTTTTGAGTTTGTTGTTGTTAAGTGCCCCCAGAGTCAGTTCAGACTCATAGCGACCCTCTATAGGGTTTATGAGGAGCAGCTGGTAAGCTGGAACCTTGCGGTTCAAACCGACCTAGAAGTCCAGCACATTAACCCAAAGTGCCACACCAGAAGGGAAACAAACAAAATATATGAAGGGGCAAGATCAGGGCTGTAAGGTGGATGCAGTAAGATTTCTAAGTGAAATTCTCACGAGACAGCCCTTCAAGAATGAGCAAATGCATTGTCATGATGGAAAAAAATTCCTTTGTGCAACTTTCCTGGACTTTTTCTCAACAATGCAATTTTCCATTTTCTTAAAAGCTTCTTTATAATAAACTCCTGTGAAGATCCTGTATCCTTTGAAAAATCACTTAGGATTACTTGTTTGGAAACAGCTACCATAATCTTCTGAACTGACCTCTCTGCTTGCATTGAACTGTCCCAGCTGATCTCTCAGGAGTCAGTTTTTATTGGACCCTATATAGAGTTTCCAAGGAATAGCTGGTGAACTTGAACTGCTGACCTTGTGGTTCAAAGCAACTGTGCAGTCCAGTGCATTAGCCCACAGGGCCACACCAGGATTCCTAATGAAACAGACAAGTATTACTGGATCGCTGAAATTTTAAAACCTGTTTTGTTTGGAATAAATGTGTGTAGTATGAACTAGAACCCTAGTAACAATACTTTTTGACTTGCCTTTGGTTAACCACAAATCAAAATACTCAATTTATATACATGAACATAATTCCTTTTTTTTAAAGTAATACCGAAGGATATTCAATGAAGAGGGGGGTTCACTCCCATTCACTGATCCCTGACCCTTAGGCAACTACTGATAAGTTGCTCAGGTATCTTCTATAAATCTTAGAAAATCAAGAAATTCCTAAGATATTTTGTGAGTACCCTTCAGGTCTGATGAAGCTCTTGACAGGATTCCTGAAGGTTCCTAACTGTGCAGTTTCAGTGTTCCTTCAGGTTTGTCAGTTCTGTTCTGACTGCTACGACTCTGATTTCTTGTGACATGCTACTTAACTTCTGACAAGATTGAACAGATGGGTGTGCTCTTAATAAAGTGATACTCTACAAAAAAAGGAAGAGGGCAGAATGTAGCTGAAACACATTTATAAACTTGTGAAGGGTACGCTACATTAGTCCTTCACGTACTCCAGAAACGGGACTTAGATTTGTTCTAGAGTTTATGAACATTTCATTTATATGATGAGAATGGTTTTATTGTTGTTATGTGCCGTAGAGTCGGTTCCGACCCATAGCAACCCTATACAGGGTTTCCAAGGCTGTAAATCTTTACAGGAGCAGAAAGCCTCATCTTTCCCGTGGAACAGCTGGTAGTTTCGAACTGCTGACCTTAAGGTTCACAGCCTGATTCGTAACCACTATGCTACCAGAGCTCCTTTTTGTTGTTGTTAGGTGCTATCAAGTCAATACTGACCCATAGTTACCCTATGCACAACAGAAAGAAACACTGCCCAGTCCTGCCTGCACCAACCTCAGAATCATTGGTACATTTGTGCCCACTACTGGTGCCACTTTGTCAGCCCATCTTGCTGGGAGTCTTCCTCTTTTTCTCTGACCAGCGACTGGTCCCTGGTCAGATGGGACAATATGTCCAAAGCATGAGAGAGAAAGTTTGTATATCCTGGCCTCCATGGAGCACTCTGGCTGCACTTCTTCCCACACAGATCTGTTTGTTCTTTGGGCAGTCCATAATTGATGCTCAAATGCATCAATTCTTCAGTCTTCCTTATTCACTGTCCAACTTTCACATGCATCTGAGGTTATTGAAAACATCATGGCCTCCCTATCCAGAGAAGCAGCAACACCAGAGACAGAGAGAGAGATGAGGATCTGGAGAGAGAGAAACCTGAAGACTCTAGACTCATGGAAAGAGACAGTACTGGCGACCTGGAGGCAGTCCTGCAGAATGTGCCCTTTGGTTGTTTTAAGTTATTATATATTCCCGAGTGTTTTGGTGTACATTCTCCCTGTCCCCTTCCCCCCCCCCAAAAAAAAAAAAAACCCACCACATATAGAAACAAATAATGTTGAATGATGATACAGGGGGAGATTGTAATCATTGCAATGAAACGGTTGTGTAAAACCAGTGTTCTCCCATGTAAACTATCACTCAATTCACAATAAAAACTTAAGAGATGAAAAGGAACAAGCCAGTAAAATCCTGGAGTCATTTTAGTGGAAATCAGTGTGAAGGAGGGTCCAATGGAAATATGTGATGAGAGAATGAAAGCTGCATTACACATTCCTAAAAGTTTTTCAGTATGGCATAAGCTTTCATAAATTGTATTTGTATGCTTTTACTTTCCCTGAGTCTCGTTGGATCTTATTTGATCCAACCACGGATAGCTTCACTGATCATGACTGTAATACTTGTAAGGAAAAATATCTAAGATGTCTATGAGTTGCAGCCAACATTTCATCCTTATGCTTCCTGTTTGAGAATATGTACAACTTAGATGTCTTATGTTTTATGATATATTTTGACTTAAGGAATAAATGACAATTTTCTAAGCAAAAAAAAACCTAGGAAGAACAAACTCTGGAAAATGTAGTTTAAAATATCTTAAAAACTAATGTTAATACAGGTTCAAAAGATAGCTTAAAAGAAATAATTTCTTAAGACTGTCTAGGCTTGACTTAAAATGTAGTCTAGTATTTCTAGTTTATCACTAGTTATTAAGCATCTATTTATAAATAACATGTTCAGATCTTTATTCTTTTCTCAAGAAGGGGAGATTCTAATTTCAGTTCTATCCAATGAAAGAAGGATAGGGGCTAGGAAAAGGATTTGAACAGTTCCATGCAAATATCACATTTTTCAAATAGAAAAACTCCCAACTGAACTAGTCCATCTCACAAATATACTTCTTACTGATACAATTTCTGATCAGTACAAATCCATGACATTGAGGCTCAGAACCTAATATAGATCTGGCCTTTAAGCCATTGCTTTCTGGAATAAAGGCCTCAAAAAAAAAAAAAAGAAAGAAAGAAAGAAAGAAAATACCATGGCCTGGATCAGGCTCACCTTACCCCACAAACTGACATCTTTGCTATTCAACACTAAAGAGGACTTCTGTAGCAGATTTGCCTAAAGCAGTACATTGTTTTGATTTATTGACTGCTGCTTCCATGAATGTTGATAGTTGACCCGAACAAAATGAAGTCTTTTACAGCTTCAATCTTTTTTCCATTTATCGTGATGTTAATTATTGGCCCAATAACAAGGATTTTTGTTTTCTTTACATTGAGGTGCAACCCATACCAAAGTCTATGGTCCGTGATCTTCATCAGTAAGAATTTTAAAAGTCCTCTTCACTTTCAGCAAGCAAGGTTGTATCATCTGAATATTGCAGGTTGTTAATGAGTCTTCCTCCAATCTTGATGCCATGTTTTTCCTCGTACAATCCAGCTTCTTGGATTATTTGCTCAGCATACAGATTGAATAAGTATGGTGAAAGAACACAACCTTGGCGCACACCTTTGCTAATTTTAAACCATTCAGTGTTCCCTTGTTCTGTTCGAA